CCTTGTCCTGTCATCTGCCTGCACTGAGAACAGTCCAGCACCATCCTCTTTGCAACCCCCTGCAGGGAGGTGAAGGCTGCTATCAAATCCCGCCTTGGTCTTCTCTTTTCCAGACTAAATAAACCCAGTTCTCTCAGCCTCTCCTCACAAGCCAAGTCCCCCAGACTCCCAACCATTTTCACTGCCCTCTGATGGACTCCCTCTAACATGTCCACATCCTTTATGTAGTGGGGGGGCCTAAAATTGGACACAGGACTCCAGATGTGGCCTCCCCAGTGCCGAATAGGGGAAGAATCACCAGGAATCCTAGTTTTCTCTGGAAAAAAAAAATCTCTAATTTTTGGATTAAAAAAAGGAACCCAAAATCCACATTTTCCTATGATTAAAATGAAACACTTTTCTCTATACATATCTCTATATTAGTGGTATTTCATTTTAATCATGGAAAAATGTGGATTTTGGGTTCCTTTTTTTAATCCGAAAATTGGAGATTTTTTTTTCTTATCAGAAAAAACCAGGACCCCTGATAATCACTTCCCTTGACCTGCTGGCAATTCACCTACCAATGCAGTCCAGGATGCTATTCACCTTCTTAGCAACAAGGACACACTGCTCGCTCCTGTTCAGCTTCTTGTGCACTGTCACCCCAGGTCCTTTTCTGCAGAGCTGCTGCCCATTCAGTCACCCCCCAGCCTGAACCCGTGCATGGGATTGTACTGTCCTAAGTGCAGGACTTTGCACTTGTCCTTGTTGAACCTCATGAGATTTCTTTTGGCCCGATCCTTCAATTTGTCAAGGTCTCTCTGAATCCTAGCCCTACTCTCCACTGTATCTACTACTCCCTGCAGATTGGAGTCATCTGCAAACTTGCTGAGGGTGCACTCTGTGCCATCTTCCAGGTCAGTGATAAAGACATTGAACAAAGCCAGTCCCAGGACTGACCCCTGGGGCACTCCACTTGATAACGGCTGCCAACTAGATATTGAGTCATTGACTACTACTCTCTGAGCCCAATGCTCCAGCCAGTTTTCTATCCACCTTACAGTCCATTCATCCAGCCTGTACTTCTTTAGCTTGCCTGTGAGAATATTGTGGGAAACTATCAAAAGCCTTGCTAAAATCAAAGTATACCACGTCCACTGGTCTCCTCACATCCACAAAGCCAGCCACTTTGTCATAGAGGGCAATCAGGTTGGTCTGGCTTGACTTGCCCCTGGTGAATCCATGCTGACTGTTCCTAATTACCTTCTCCTCAAAGCGCTCACAAATGGATTCCTTGAGGATCTTCTCCAGGATTTTTCCAGGAACTGAGGTGAGGCTGACTGGTCTGTAGTTCTTTGGATCCTCCTTTTTCCCTTTCTTAAATATGGGCACTATGTTTGCCCTTTTCCAATCAACCACGACCTCCCCTGATCATTTTTCAAAGATGATGGCAATCACATCAGACAACTCCCTCAGCACCCTAGGGTGCATCCTATCTGACCTCATTGACTTGTACACATCCAGCTTTTCTAAGTAGTTTACTTACATACTCATATATACTGCTTAACCAAGACATTATATATATATATATTTATTTATTTAATATATAAATATTTATTTATTTAATATATAAACATACTTATTTATTTATCAATGTTTTTTGTTATGTTTCATTTATTAAGGGCTGAGATTTTATGTATTTTGTGCCTCATTAAGCAATACAATCTATCCAAGCTAAACCTTCATTGTACCATGAAATAATTCTGGAACAGCTAGGGTAAAATTTTCCCCTTCTGCAACAAGTCCTGTCACACTCTAAGTTACAGACCATGCTCTGATCTATATTAAAAAATAATCCAAAGTCCTGGACAGCACTCTTAATGGAATGGAGCCCCACTGAAACCAGAATTTTTAATTTGGCCCTACATCTAATAATTGTTACAGTTGTATTACAAATAATCTTATTCTTTGTTATGAATGGTGTATGCTCTTATGTTAAAAAAAAATTAGACATTCAATGTTTTTCCAGAAAACTGGTGCCTGCATGGTGCCTGTATGTGCGTACTTCAAGAGTGACACTGAAAACTTTTCCATTGTCAAGTGGGAGAGTGTGGAGACAGTTCAGCCTCTTGACACTTGACAGGACCGAAATGGTCCTTTAGGCCTGGAAGGCCCAGAGAAGACTTGACATAAGTAGGCTAAGAGTGCATTCATAGAGTTATGCGATTGTATGACCTGCTCCCTACAGAGAAAAGGTTGATGCAGCTTGCTTTTCTGATGTAGAGGCCTGTTGTGAATACAAGGGTTTGTTATGGTGCATTCCACCCAGATCTGGAGCGGATGGCTCCTGGTAGCAAGGAAAGAAAGAAACAGCAATAAGGGGGAGACATAAAGCAATAAAGGGGAGGACTGGAAAAGGGCCAATGTGGTCCCCATCTTCAAAAAAGGGAGGAAGAAGGACCCAGGAAACTATAGGCCCATGAGTCTTACCTCAGTCCTGGGGAAGGTTTTCGAAAGAATTATCTTGGCACTTGTCCAGGAAGGGCCAGCAGGGGAAGTCATGCTCAGGGGCAACCAGCACGGGTTCATTAGGGGCAGGTCTTGTCAAACCAACCTGGTGGTCTTCTATGACCAGGTCACCAAGTCCTTGGATGCAGGTGTCGCAGTGGATATAGTCTTTCTGGACTTCAGGAAGGCCTTTGACACGGTCTCTCACCCCATTCTCAGTAAGAAACTAGGAGACAGTGGTGTTGATGCCTACACAGTCAGATGGGTCACTGGCTGGAGGGCTGCACCCAGAGGGTGGTGGCGGATGGGTCTTATTCGACCTGGAGGGATGTGAGCAGTGGGGTTCCCCAGGGCTCAGTCCTTGGGCTTGCGCTATTCAACATCTTCATCAGTGACTTGGGTGAGGGGGTAGAAAGCACCCTGTTCAAATTCGCAGATGACACTAAGATGTGGGGGGAAGTGGGTACGCTAGTAGGAAGGAAGAGGCTGCAAGTGGGTCTAGACAGGTTACAGGGGTGGGCTGATGAGAACAGGATGGGGTTCAACACTGACAAGTGCAGGGTAATGCACCTGGG